AGAATAATAATTTCAGGGTTACTTAAGGATTAAATGAGATGATCCATAATATTCTTTCTTATGCCATATAAATTAATCATGTAGCAAAAATGCAGTGAAAGCAGCTAACAAACACAGGGTGACCCAGTTCAGATACACTGTAGGTGCACCATGACCTCATTATATATATAGCAATGAATATTGCAACCTTGGGATTGATTTTTAAGTGAGAGCTATCTTTGTTTCCTAACACTATAACTTTTAAAAATATATACTTTTAGCACTGTTTTTCATAAACCAAATCAATATTTTCTATAACCCATCCTTCATAGACAAGGCTGTTTTAACTAAGATAGACATATTAAAATGGGTTACTTGGAAGATAATTAACACTGTATGATAATTGTGGTGATATGGAATTGCTTCCAGAAATTCTATTTGGGAAAGAATAAATACTCCACAAAAAGTTTTCTAAACAATTATAAATTTCCTTAACAAATATAATGCCTGTGTATAATGCTACAAATGTCTGCAGGATTCTTTCTAGATGTACCCCATGTTCTAAGGACCTGTTAATTTGAGTCAGACCCAGAATGTCTACTAAAAAATTTTGTGACATGTGTAGGTAAATTATTTGACTTTTTATTTCAGATTGACAGCAATAACTATGAAATCATTAGATCTAAAATACTTCAAATTTCTTTGTGCTAGAATAAAAGTGACCTAAATTAGAACAAACAATGTAACAATGGGTTACAGCTAAAACATTTGAGGAGGAAATGAAGATTATTTGTTCTTTAAAATGAATTTCCAAAATAACCACCCAGTAGAAAAACAATTGTGATAGGATTTTTATATTCATGTAAACTTTTAGTAATTTACACTAACTTATCTAGTGACAGTATTTTTCTCTTATACTGTCTCAGTCTGAATTACTGTATAGCACTTATTCAAAACTAAACAATGAAAAATTTGGTCACAAAATTCTTAGAAATGTATTTGTCTATATGAGTACTGCTACCCTATATATTATTAATATTAAGAAAATCTGAACATTAAACAATCATTACTTGAAAAGCTTCTACATAAAAAACATTCCACATATGACAGATATTTGGTAGACTAATAATTAAGATAGTTTTTCTTAGATTAGCAATCCTGGTTAAAAATCACTATATATTATTAATATTAAGAAAATCTGAACATTAAACAATCATTACTTGAAAAGCTTCTACATAAAAAACATTCCACATATGACATATTTGGTAGACTAATAATTAAGATAGTTTTTCTTAGATTAGCAATCCTGGTTAAAAATCATAGCAGGATCCCCAAAGATAAGTTTACATACTTTCACTTACTTTTCCTAAAATTTAACTGAAGAGTTTTGCCAGATCAAATGAAATTTATTTTAATATCCAGTGACTCTTTTAACCTATTTGATTCATTATTGGACTTTCCTAGAAATCATCAGATTTAGTATCAACAGACACACAGGTAATATCATAGATAACAACTTTCTAATTCATTAATTTCCAGATATAGTCAAATCAATTCCAGTATTATAAAGAAACCAAAGCTGTACTACTTTTAAAACAATATGTCAGTGCTATACTAGGGGTGTAACTCCTTATAAAGCAAGCACAAATGTGGCATCAAACTTACTTTTCCAAAGAAGCCTTTGAAGAACTTCCTTTCCTGGAGGAACAGGGGGACAAGTCGAGCGCTATTATTGTATGGGCTAAATTTCTCAGCTTTCACACCAAAAAGCATATAGAGAAGTTGGGGAAAAGGCAAAGTGGGAGAAGGGAGGGAGTGAGAGTTTAAAGAGTTATCCATACCAGGAGTGACAGGGCAAAAGGAAGGGTGCATGAAAATGCAGGGAAACACACTGTATGACCTAAGAATCCATGGAAAGGGTGAGAAGAAATTTGAATCTGTATTCATGCAGAGCAACTAGTTAGTTTAGTAATCTCTATGTCCTTTTAAAACAGAGATCATTCAAATTTGGCAGCAGAGAAAAAGATTAGGAATACCAGTTTGGTGAGATTTGCATTTTAAATTTTATAATAGTAAGTAGTAAATAGCAGATTGGTTCCTTATACATTTTTCAATTTAAAATCAGTGGTCAACTATGTGAAAGTCATCAAAACCAGTCAATATTCAAATGACCACATAATCACATAAATATGCAATACATAAAATTAAATTATGAGTATGTGTCACGGGTCCTTGTCACACTTTTTCTTACTGATTAAAAATGTCACTTAGAGAATCCTCCATACTACTTAAGGGGAATATGACCATTGGTTTTCCATTTACTTATGCATTAGTATCAATCTATATGTATGTGTGTATGTACTTGATCACTTACACAACACACACTGGGAAATAACAGATATGTTCTATTCTAGACACTATTATCTATAAAGAATACAAAGCTAATGTCTACACTGGAGCTGAGAAAACATATATCTCAGAACCAAAACAATGTTGTGGGCCACAACTAAAATTTAAGTAATAGGGTTTTTTTCTTTTTAAAAGTTGTTGTTTTAAAATAAAGAAACTTGCATTGACATTAATAATAAGTACACAATTCTGAAACCATGTGGTTAAGAGAGACACAGCTACCTATGGTTCCAGCACCAATTTTTAAGCACCACTTATAAAAAGTGGATACCATTTAAAATCTGAAGAATTTATGCAAAGTAGATGGGTTCTAATTCACTCAAGCTAGCTTAACTTTACATTTCCTAGCTGTGGCTGAACTATACTTTAAGCCCTTACTTTTTATAATCATCAGTTTCTAATGTTGGATAAACATGTAGGAAAAGACAACTGTACTGAAATTTGACTCTCAATTTATGAAGTCATTTAATGCTCTCATATACCGGAAAGTTTGTTTTCCCCCTAAGTTTTGAAAATCACAAACAGCATAAAATATTTCCACAAAATATTTTGAATTTAAGCTGGAAAAATAATACAGTAATCAGGGTAGTTATCACAATGACACTAAGATTTCTTCTGCTGCCAAGTTTGGTGACCCTAGTTTTGTTAGACCGTGAGTAACCATCAGCTTTCAAGGATGCAGCCAAAGACACCATTCTTGAGGGATGGGGAGGTTAGGGAAGGAGATCTGTTAATGTTTAATTTAGCTCCTGAAAAAGCTCTTGTTAAACATGGAGTTTTCCTTTTAATAAAAGACCCCAGATGTTAATGAAAAAAAGATGATGTGCAAAATGCATAATAAGACAGTTATTGGATTAGAGAATAATATTAATGTTCTTTTTAAAAACAATTAAGTTATGATTCGTTTACCTGCTAAAACAAGAACATATATTAAAACAAATATATCAAATAGTGAATAAAAAACAAAATGTTCTTTTTAAAAACAATTAAGTTATGATTCTTTTACCTGCTAAAACAAGAACATATATTAAAACAAATATATCAAATAGTGAATAAAAAACAACATATTAGAAACTGGTAGTATAATGAAACTAGCCTAAAACCAAGACAGAGAGGAAGAGACATTTAAGAGACAATGGGAAGAAATGACCTTTTAAAATGAAGGGTATCTTGGACCAGAGTAAAGCAAGATAACCAAAGTCTTGATATACTTTTTACAAAATTGACTGATAAATGACAATACTCCTTACCCTGTAACTGACTATGCCATAAAGAAAATAAAAATGGGCAACAGCCATTTCTATCATTTATCTAATCTAAGTCCCAAAGTAGCTAATTAGTGAAAGTATGTCACAAAGCAAATGAGATGAAAGTAGCTATAACTAACTTTATGCACAGAAAGTTTAAAACAAAATTTTAACATACTTGTGCTCTGAGCATATTTTTAAAACTATCTTATTTAGTCATATTTTTTTCATCTGCGAATATCAAGTATGCAGAAGACTTGCAATTAAAGTTAATGTAACTCTAAATTATAAGAGACTACTTTGGGGAAACACACACATACACAACACAATTATACTTGCAAATTATTTTCTACCTCAATTCCCCACAAATTTAAAAAGCATTAGAAATGTTAAATTTTTAGTTCAAAGATCATTCACATGATAGGTTTAAGATATTTGTTTCACTACTTAACTGGTACATAATTCTTTAAATTTTTAAACTTTGACATTCAAATAATTCCAATGATGTTCTATTTCTTCCTTAATCCTCTGTAGGCTTGTACACCCTTACATTTGCTTCCATTTATTTGAAACTGTAAGAGGGAGCTTTATGATCTATAAAAAACAAACTAACAAACAAAAAGCCTCCAGACACATAGCTTTTGGCACAATATAAGTATTTGCATGGCAGATTGTAGATCCCCAGTGGATATTTGTTAGATGAATGTTTGTTCAGAGAAAAAAAAGGCAACTAGAAATTTCTGCATAATAAAAATATGAAGACAAAAATCATTAACATATGTGGACTAGTATAATTTGAGAACAACATCCTGCCGACTTCCAACTTTCTGTAAGATTCTCAGTTACAGCACTAGAAAGGATATTTATAGAAGGGGAATGTTTCATTGAGTATAATAAACAGGAAATTTACCGCAGTTACCCAAAAATTCAATCTTATTTTTGTATATGTTTGCCAATGCAAAATTATATATAACATTTGCTCCAAGTGTCCTAAATAGTGTTTGTCTGAAGAATTTTAAATAACTTCTTGGTGAAAAGTCCAGAACTGGTCAATTTTCCCTCAAAGTTCAAAAGTTAAATTATGTCCAGAATAGCAATCATCAACACATATAAAATTTCCTTTTGGTTATAAAAGACCATTGGGAAATAAGGATTTTTATTTCCTTATACTTATAAATATATGCAAAAGAGTTTTGCAAACTTGAGCTATGATTATGATGATTATTATAAGATTCAATTTGAGCACATATTCAAGACTGGATTGTTTTCTGTATATTCATTCCAGAAATATTTTTTGAGTGACTACCATGTACGAGACACAGTTCCAGGAATAGGTATAATTTTTAAAATGGCAATTCAGGGTCTCGCTGGTTAGCTCATTCGGTTAGAGCGTGGTGCTGATAACACCAAGGTCAAGGGTTCAGATCCCCTTACCGGCTAGCAATAAAAAATAAACAGAAAATGGCAATTTAGTTCCAATTTCTGGTTAATATAAAAACTCATGGGCCAGCCTGGTGGCGCACTGCTACAGTGCGCCGCTTGGGAGAGTGGCGGCGCTCCCGCCGAGGGTTCGGATCCCACATACAGACCGGTTCCCGCTCACTGGTTGAGCGAGGTGCGGGCGCGGCACCGAGGGTTGCGATCCCGTTGCCGGTCCTGGTCCAGTACGGGCGCAACACTGAGGGTTGCGATCCGTTGCCGGACACAAAAAAAAGACAAAAAGGGAAGAAAAAAAAAAAAAACTCATTAAACTTTATTATCTAAATAGTCCTGTGCCTCAAATAGTTACACTTATAGTCTATAGTCTTCTTGATGTAAAAAAAAAAAATAAAAAGGTAAAATAAAACAAAAAAATCCACTCAACTAAAAAATTAGTTTAAAAACTAGACAGCTCTCACTTCTCAGTATTTTGGCTAAGATCAAGCATATAACTAGACAGCTAGATAGAAAGCGGCTATCTCTGGGATTGCAGAAGATTATATTCATGCACTTTGTTCTTTTGAATTTTATAAACATATTTCCTATATAATAAAGAGATTTTTCTGATTAAAAGTAGGTTAAAAAAAACAAAAACTAGACAGTTAAGAGTATTAAACAACTAAATACCAATTCTCAGTATCTTCTGGGCAAATTTAAACCATCTGTAGTTTTTCCTTATCTAGAGAGTGAACATGATGCCATAGACTGAATTAAAGACTTTTTAAAGGCTCCTTCTACAGTGGCCTTTAAACTATAAGTTATGTAAGTTATAAGATTTTAATAACTATTTATAGTCTGTTTCAGGTCTATCAAGTCTTGTTCACTGATTTTTCTGCTCTTTTCAGTCATTAGTAATATAGTGTTATAAAACAGTTTTTGCGTGACTTTTTAAAAATGTTCTTAGCTAATCTCATCTTGTTTATTATTCTCCTAGGTAAACCTGGAATTATTTTGTTAAAGAAGAAATTAATTTTCTTTTCTCTTTTACATTGATTTTGGTAAAAATAGAAAATTAAATTTTTGGAGATACGTTTATTTAGGTGGACATAGCAAGTCTATAGTTTCATGTACTATAATACATGGTTATAAGCCCCCTTGACATAAATGATAAATTGGAGTGCAAAGATAGACTAAGAAGGGCTTTGATCATTGCAGAATTTAAATAAGCAAAATCTGAGGTAAAAGGCATGTGAAAGTACACATGTATGTATGTATACATGTGTACATGTGTCTATTTTATTGTTTTTTTAGTTCTTTGTATATTGAGACAATCATTATTTTTTTCCTCCTGTCCCTTCTACAACAGATTCTGACACTTATTCCAAATAAAATCCTCCTCTCTGAGTTGACTGCTTCCTTACTTTTATGTATTTCATATTGAGGAATTATAGATAAAAGGTAAAATAGAATATACCAAAAAGCAGAAAGGTTTTGATTACTAAGCAAATTGAGAAAAAAAGCACTCATTAGTAGTCAAACTTATGGCAGCTCACCATACCAGCAAACCCAAAGCAACAAGTATGAGTATTTAATGCTGTTTGGGGCAAGGGCATGCAGAAGTAATGCTTAAAGCTTTCATAGCAAAGTGGGGAAGAGACACATATTGAAGGAAGGTTGGAACATGGGCTGTCAAAGTCTATGGGATATTCCTCAAAACTACTGAAAATATGAAATTAACACTTTAATCTTAACCTTTATGAACTCTGAACCCATTCTCACACAGGCATTTGCCTGGGATGTGTTCTATGGCATAACAGGCAAGGAAATATTTAATGTGTAAATAGGCTCTCCAGTGCAAGTGTGCTGAAGTTTATGCAGAAGGCAGTGGAAACAATGTGTATGTTATATGAGTGCAGAAAAGAAAATTGGGGATTAAGAGTCAAGATGATAATGAGAAGTCTCCCCAAAAGTAGACCTCACCAGGCACCAACAGGGGTATCTCTGTCTTCTATTTTTTCCTGGAAAGATGTTTCTTATAGATTTAAAATGAATAATTTATAACCCAGTTATCACAGTAAGATTAATATGTTTACTTAACGGTTTTATCCTGGTTTTAGAATATAATTCTTCTACCAGATTTCACACCACTTGTTTCATATGAGTTATAAATCTAAAGTAACTTTTGGTGGGCTGACCAGTTACCTCACTTGATTAGAGCATGGCGTTGATAACACCAAGGTCAAGAGTTCAGATCCCTTTACTGACCAGCCACCCCGCCCCCCTCCCCACCAAAAAAAGTATCTTTTGGATAATGTCTGGCCTAAATTGAAGGTTGGTCTTTATAATTTATAACCTTTGGATGGATAACATGAGATGTTCTTTATTAGTAAGCCCCCATCTTTTGCTTTAAGAGAAATACCATTCTTACTGGATACTGGGCCACTAAAATTTGCTGAGCAAAATCTTTTAAGAAAATATTGACAGCATGTAATCAACACTAGCAACCATTAAATACATACAGCTTTCAATCTTTTTACAGCATCTTCACAGATATGCATTCCTCTTGATTCATCAACTTCTACATGGCCAAGGTACTGTAGAAAGAAAAAAAAAAGTTAGGGCTATTGCTATATTTATTGGGTAACTACTATATGGTAGGTATTAGGTGGTAGAAAATTGAACATTGAAGTTCCTGCACTCAAGAAACTCACAGTCATTGTAGAAGAGTTAAGATAATGTTACTTACTTACCTTCAGTGTTAGGAAAATGGAACAATTTGGTCAGGCTCCCCTCACCTTGGAGCCGGTTCAGGCGGTTCTGTAAACATTGTGTGTGTGGTTGGAGTGAGTGTGCCCCCACGGCACCATTTTGGCTGGTGTTTACTGCCTCGGATGTCCACCCTGTGCGGCCATGTTTTTCCAGACCCACAGCTTCCAAGGACCATGTGGCCAGTTGCCTTGCTTATAGACCTGGGTGGAGGGGTCTGGTGACCCAGCCTGGCGTAGAGGGGTCTGGTGACCCAGCCTGGAGGGTGAAGGTTTGTGACCCAATCTGTAAATGGGCTTGAGGGGTCTGGGAGTTCCAGACCCAGCCCTAGCTCAACCATTGGCCCGGTCAGTGCAGGATTACCAGCAGGTAGAAGAGCCGCGGCAACTAGTGTGGTCACCTAGCTTTACAATTGGTGTCAGGAACAGTATTAAGAGCTAGACAATTGACATTGTGAGCAGGATTCCAGCCATTAGCCTCGCAGTAGCCCTTGTCATAGCCAGACACTCAGTGTCCTCATATAAATGAAATTTAGCATAATTATTTCAGAGAGTTGTTATAAATAAGTGAAAAACTAGGTACTAAATGGTAGTACCTAAATGGTAGGTACTAAATGTTATCTGAATGTACTGGATTTGAAGCCTGTGTTAGACACTGTTGCTATGTATCTACACATAAAAATAACCCTAAGACAAAGTATATATCATGAAAAAGGGCACAAACAAAAATGACAGTTTTCAAAGCCTGAAGAGATCACACACTCCTATTATGGAGGGCACACAAGAGCATGGCAGATGACTAAAATAAATTTTAAGAGAGGGCATCTAAGCTTTAAAAGATGTAGAATTTGAAGAGGCAGAAAGTGAAAGGTTGATAAACTATTTTAGGCTGAGAGAATTATGCAAAGTTATGGGCGTGGAATAGAATAACTATATATCGGGCCGGCCTGGTGGCGCACTGCTACAGTGCGCCGCTTGGGAAGCGTGGCGGCGCTCTCGCCGAGGGTTCGGATCCCACATACAGACCGGCCACTCACTGGCTGAGTGAGATGCGGGAGCAACACCGAGGGTTGCGATCCCGTTGCCGGTCCTGGTCCGGTACAGGCGCGACACTGAGGGTTGCGATCCGTTGCTGGTCACGAAAAAAAAAAGACAAAAAGGGGAAAAAAAAAATAAAGAATAACTATATATCAACACATATTCCTGTTTGGCTAGAATATGAAATATTTGAGCTGCTGAAATAAGGAGTCTGCACTTAATCCTAGAGACAATAGAGAGCTAATAAAGATTTTTTTGCAAGGTAGTAAAATGATTCAAATTGTACCTTAGTATGGACACAGTTCTGGGTTAGAAAAGCAGAAGGAATGGCAGCAATATTACAAGTACTCTCTTTGAAAACGAAATTTATGGTCTGGTTCCAGGCAAGATGGAATAGATACACTAAACCCTGTCTCCCTCACTGAATGAGACCACAAAACTTGGACAGAAGGCATGGAACAGCTATTTGAGGTCTCTGAAAAGTAAGAAGATGAATCAGAGAATACCAGAGATCAACGTATCACTGAACTGGCATGCAGTGTACCTCCCTCCTCCGCCCTCTCCACTCGCTCTTTGGTACCACCAGCCTGAACTTAAACACAGCAAGAAATCCAAAAGTGAGTGCTATGGTACAGAGGGAAGTCTGCGAAAATCACTCTAGTTTGAGTCCCAGGAAAGGGAACTCCTATGTTTAGAGAGAGTATGAGAGTCTCCCGCCCTCTTATTTACCTCTTTTCTTGGTTCTCTCACACCGCAGCCCCCAGGAAATCCTGTGGTGGTAGCAACAATGAAATGTGGCAAAAGCCACACTTCTAAGGGAGAGGAACCTACCTCTCTGTTTAGTGGAGCTGTGATTCCAGGAAGATGGGGCTGACATCCTTTTGCTTTTTTCCTGTCTCTCTGAAGCTCCTGCCATTTGACCTTAGATCCAAGTGAAACTGCGGGAATGTGTAGTAGAGCAGAAAAACCAGAGTTCTAGGTTTCTGGCTAGAGAACCAGAAAGGGAAGCTCCAGGGATCAAGAAAGTACTGAGGAAAGCACAGGGAGGAAGGAGCATGGGAAAACATGAATTTGTTTATGAATTCTTGGGCTCACTCTGGAGCTACATAGGTAAGGATCTGATCCTAATTAGCACACCAAAGACTTTGAGAACTGTACTAATGGATAAACCATCTCCCAGTTCCCAAACTGACCACTGGGTGATGTACACACAGGACA